AAGAGACCAAGAAAGGAAGCAGGAAAACTCAGGGTGTAGGCAGGAAGGCATGAGGAGCACATAGGAAAACTTGACTTGCGGTCCTGGCTGTGTCACGGTTTGCTATGAGATCTTAGGCAAGTCCCCCAGACCTTAGTTTCTCCTGACCTCCAAAGTTCCCTTCAGCACTCACCTTGAGTGGTTTTGATACCAAGACCACATTTCATGATATCAGCACAATGACTTAAGTACAAATGTATTGACCAGGAGTCAGAGGAGGTGGCCATGCCAGGCAGTAGGGGAGCAGCTAGCTCTTTAGCCCCTTAGTTTCCTCTGTGTCCAACGGGATCCACAGAACTATCTGCCTGCCCTTCCTGGCACCTATGAGGAAGGATGGTCTATGGGTAAGTAGAGATTTGTATGAAAGGGCCATATGAATCTCTAAATTCAGGAGTTTCATCCCTTGAATATGTCTTTTAAAAAAGTTGTCGATTAGACATAAAATTGTTTTCCAGATGCAGATCTGGGACGTGCTTTGCTCCCTGAACCACCTTGACAAGTGACTATCCCCTGGGTTGATTTCCCTCCCTTGCCCTCATGGTGGGGCGGCAAGGAGAAGGCTGGGTGGGGTAGAGAGTCACAGTCCCGCAGGCACGGAGATGTTCTCTCCAGGAAGCCCCTCTTGGCAACCTCATGTGCACAAGGTTGACCAGGAACTTGGTCAAGAATGTTAATAGCTGTCCAGGAGATCCAGGTACCCTGGGGTAAAAGGCAGTACTGCCTACTCGCTGACCAGACTCCACAAGGAGTTTTACATTATATTGCACTGGGATCAGGACTGTCTAGGATAATACCAAATGGGTGTCTATTGAATCCCAGAAAACATTACCACAGTGGTTTTCTTTCCTTCTTTAATTAAGTTAAACAGACATTATGGTGATATACATTTGTGAACCACCTCAGAAGTCTCCTACTCAAAACCTCCTCCCCTCTGCTCTTATTCATTGAAGCTCCCTGGAAGAAGGGGGCAAGGGAGATTGACAACATCTTTTTTCAAATGCAAATATTCCCTTTGGAGTGCAGGGTTCTTCAAACTTCCATTGTTTTGCTAGGATCACCTTGTGGCTAAAGTTAACCTGGAAGAAATAGCAAGAATTGAGCTGCCCCTCCTTTCCAACTGACTACAGCAGTAGTTTTCCAACTGGACTCTGAGGACTATCTGTGGGGCCTGGAGGAGACAGCAGGAAGAACTCCACCCTAGCTCCCCTCAACCAGGGCAGCATTGCATCGATCTGTTTCATGTAGTGAGCCCCAGGCACAATTTCATTAAAGAAAATCTTTCCCTTCCTTAAAATAAAAAGTTCAAAATCCAGGGCAACGTTCACCCATTTTCACATATTTGGTGAGCATCTTCAATGTACCAGGGACTATACTAGGTACTGGAGACATATCAAAGCAGCACTTAGCTCCCAGGCCCTCCCTCATGTATGAGAGCACATCATTCCAACACGTTCTTGCACTGGTTTCCCATGGAAACTAGAAGCTCTGTGAGAGCAAGGACTGGTATCTTGTATCTTTCACCTCCTCCTTAGAGGACAGTGCTCGACAGATCTTACAGAACATGGCAGTGGACATTCTGGCCCTGGCTGAGAGTGTGCAGATGGACAAGAGGAAACAGCTAGAATGTCATATCTTTGCTTTGGATCATTCATATAGGAGAGAGTTTGTATGCAGATGATGAATGGCTAATGGGCCTATACTTGAAAAGGACTGCTGAACAGTTCTGGGATGGAAGAGTATAGCCAGAGCCAGAAAATGGGGTGAGGAGTGAGAAACTCTGCATACACACTCGCATTCACATACTTTATGCATGGAAACTTGGCCCATGCACCTACCTTTTCTCTACTTGAGTTTCTCATGTTATAAACCGGGGTAACCCATACACATGCAGTCCTTACAGGGGAAAAAGGCATTAATGGCATTGGTATGGAAAAAAGGACCATGCCGTGTAGTCAAAACTCAACGCTGAAAAAGTTTGCCTTAGTTTCACAAATGAGGCAATCGAGCATTACAGAAGGCAAGTGACTTGCCATAGGTCACAATAGGAGTTTGTGACACAGCCCAAATTGGAAACTAGGGCTCATGTCTTTTTGTTTATAGAATGTTTTCATGTAATCAGAAAACTTCCAAAGAGCACAGAACATCTTCCCAAATAAGAAACCATTTCAGATTTCCCACCTATAAGACTTCCATCAATCCAACAAGTATTTATTGAACATGTACTGTGTGCTAATGGACCCATTTGTGGGGCACTAATAGAAGGATATGACACAGTCCTTATCCTCCAGGAGCTAACTGAGGGAACAAGAGGCAAAGATTTGGAACATGATATGCGATATGTAAGAAGTGCCAAAACTGGAGGAACAGTGTGTCCACAGGAGTGCTCAAAGGGAACAGAATGCATTGCAATCTCAGAGAAGGTGTCTTTAAGCTAGGTTGGAGAGGATTTAAACAGAGAGTGAAAGACCACCCCACTGCTCAATACAAGGGGACTCTTTTCACCTTAGGGGCTAGATGGCCAAGGGAAAAAAGAATTCCAAGAAACTTGGGCTGGATACAGCTCAAGAATTTGTGTTTTTAAAGGTCACCCATGCCGGGCTCGGTGGCTCAGCCTGTAATCCCAGCGCTTTGGGAGGCTGTGGTGAGTGGATTGTCTGAGCCTGCGGGTTTGAGACCCGCCTGGGCAACTTGGTGAGACCTCATCTCTACAATAAATCAAAAACTAGCCAGGGAGGGTAGCGTGCCACCTATAGTTTCAGCTATTTGGAAGGCTGAGGCAGAAGGATCGCCAGAGCCCAGCAGGTTGAGGCTGCAGTGGCCAGGAGCAGCCACTGCACTCCAGTCTGGGTGACAGAGTGAGACTCCAACTCAAAAAAATAAAATAAAATAAAATAAATAAAGGTCACCCATGTGATTGTGATGCTCAGTTAGGTTTGGAGTTCGCCCATGTAAAAGATGATGCAGAACAGATTGGAAGAGTGCATCCCAATCCTTTCCTTCCTACCCCATCCTGTTTCCCTGAAGGAAAAACTGAGGATCCAGAGACTTAACAATGATGTAAGATCACTCAGTAAGTAGCGGGGACCCCT